TCACCATTGAATGTTTTGTGGTTCTTAAGCAGCATTTTAACTTCCCTTTTGAGATAGATATCTTTTAAGCATGCTCTGTCTCTCAAACATTGGAGGTTTTAAATAGAATTATTTTCAAGTTCTTATTAGTTAACTCAATTTTGAATCATTATTGTTTAAATGCTAGAGTGAGAGAGAAATTCCCTTTAAGTAACAGTTCAGAGGGGGAGATGTGTTTTACAAGCAGATAATCTGTAACTTATATTTAAAGCAAATACACTCTTGAAACATCATAAAATTCATCGCTAATCATTAAAAGGCTCAGGCAAGAGGTCGCTGGTGAAGGAAATCTCAGCAGAGCTACTCTCAATTAGAAAAGCTTATCACTGTAATCCTTTCTGAAAACGAACAGAGTCTTGATGTTTGATGAACTTATCAAACAAGACAGATCAGCAAAGAGGGAAAATTCAAGGCAAGGCAGAAGAGATCCGATTCAGCAGCGTACAAAATGCTGCGGAAGAAACCATGGGGCTCTTGCGTTCACTGCCGGTGCTTCTGACATTGGTTTTGAAAAATAGAAAGTTACATGACAACATCATCCCCCTGGCTTCAAATCCCGGTGCTGGCACTTGCTATTAATAGTTGTTTGATCTTGAGCGAATTACATAAGCACTCAGGGCTTCATTTTACTCACTTGTAAAATGGGAGGAAAATAAGAGCAGGAATTAAAGGCCTAAAAGTACCTAGAACAACGGAACAATGCCTCCCACTTAGTGAGTATTCACTCAGAGCTGCCCCCTGTGACAGCAAGTGGAGGGTTGTTATTGTTGATTTTTCCGTTTGTTTGGATGGCTGACAGCAATAGAAAGAAGAAATTTATAATGTGCCAATTGGCATGGGTCTTCCAGATTTATCCATTTCAATTAGAGACTTCAACATTTTGTTGGATTTTTAGCAACAGCACTTGCTTTTATCCCCAAATAAATTCCACGAGATACCTAACATGGAAGATGCGTGTGTGCTTGTGCACACGTGTGTATGTATGTGTGTGCACGCGTGTGTTTTATGGCTCACGTTTACTTTGTAAGCTCATGGTTAACATTTGCTCATTATACTCTCTTGAAAGAAATAGGGGTTGTGTAAGCATAAAATCTTAAAGCCATGGAAGGAAGTTACAATTAGCAGCAAGATCAGTGATTCTCTAGAACACATTTTAAACAAATAAGATATTTTGGTATGTGTTAGTTACAAAACTTATTAAAATTCTTTCAATTTATTGAGATGCCTTCCTTCTTTCCTTTCTTTTTTTCTGAGACAGGGTTTCCCTGTAGCTTTGGAGCTCCTGGAACTTGCTCTGTTTGAGACCAAAGACCAGCCTCTCCTCGAACTCACAGAGATCCACCTGCCTCTGTCTCCCGAGTGCTGGGATTAAAGGCGTGTGCCACCACTGCCTTGCTTATTGTTGTTGTTTGGTCGGTTGGTTAGTTAGTTAGTTTTGCTTTTTTTTTTTTTTTTTTTTTTTTTTTTTTTTTTTTTTTTTTTTTTTTTTTGAGACAGGGTTTTTCTGTGAAACAGAACTGATTGTCCTGGAACTCACTCTGTAGACCAGGCTGGACTTGACTCTCAGAGATCTGCCTGCCTCTGCCTCCTGAGTGTTAGCAATAAAGGTGTGCGCCACCACTGCCCACTGAGATTTCTTTAATGACTAAGAATGTAGGATTAATGGATATTCTATGCTGTTCAGTATAAATACTTGCAAATAAGTTGAGAAACCTGTTACTTAACCGCTGAGCCACCTCTCTAGCTCCTGTTGCTTAAATTTTCATCTCTGTTCTATCACTTACTCAGAGAGGTGACAGGCAGTATTATTCAACTATTCTTGTGGGTTTCCCTATCTCTGTTTTGGTTCTATTTGTATGTACCACGTATCTGTTGAAGCTGTGTTATTAAACACACACACAGAGGGTGGGGGGTTGAATTAGATGGATTAGTTACTTTTAAGCAACACTATGACAAAATGACTGAGGGGACAATGACAACTCAAGGGAAGAATATTGCATTTTCCTCAACAATTTCAGAGACTTCAGCACATCACAGAAGGAGCAGTACGATGGAGGACAGTAGAATGGTCCATTCCTCAGCAGAGAGGATGCAGAGAGAAGGGGACGTCTGCTCACGGCTGACTTCTTTCTTTTTTACCATTGATTCTCTCAGGGCTCTCAGCCCATAGGATGGTACCACACACATTCAGGGTAGGCCTCTTCTCTTCAGTTATGTTTTCCTGGACGGGTCTTCATAGGTGCACTCAGAAGGTGAGCTTTAGCAGTCTCACCAGTGATCCTGAACCCAGTAAAACAGACCATGGAGATGAGCCATCACACAGGACGTTCTTCGTGATGGACAGCCTTTTCATCATTGAGAAATGCTTTCATTATCTTAGATGATTATTTTTAATTCACAGTGTATGTGTTTACTAGTAATTTAGTCATTCTTGTTTGCTTATTGCTTGTGTTTTCATGGCAAACGGCTATCTAGTGTTTTGTTTTACTATATATGACCATATTTTTTTTAAAAGGATTATCATGTAGATATAGTCTAAATATGATCTCTGTCTTTTTTAAAGGCTTAGTTGATTATCCATTATTAGTATCATCATTATCATCACATCATCATCATTACCTTCTTATTATGGGTGTGCTTGGTATTGGATTTGGGACATTTTATATACAAGGCAGGCATTTTTCAACTGAGCTACCACTCCAGACCCCGTCTCTGTCTTTTAGTGATAGTAATTAGACCATTTATATTGAATGTAATTATTGGTGCAGGGTTTCTTTGAATTCATCATCTTACTATTTCCTATTTGTCCTATATCTTGTTTCCATCTCTCTCTCTTTCTCGGATCATCTTTTAAATTTAGTATCTTATAATTTTAAGTGGATAGAGTAACTATTCTACTTTTTTGTTATTCTATAAAATTTATAATGTACACCATTAACTTATTACAGTCAACGTTAAAATGATATTATACCAGTTCTAATATTGTAATTTCATATGTATAACTTCCTTTGACATTTATTATAGTGTATCTTTGTCAATGAATTCTTTTATCTTATACTGAAAATGGTTACATTACACAAGAATTAACAAATAGTTTACTTGACTCATATTACAGAGAAAACCTAAGTGCCAGCAAGAGAGAGGGAGAGATTTTGGTAACAAGATTTCTCATCTGGCATTTCATGAACATCATATTTAGTTGTCACTGCATGCTTCTTAAGTTGCTTTTTAATGATTCTTCAAACTGAAGACCAGGGGAAGATGGAGCAGTTTGGTGTGTCCCACTGAGGTGTGTGGTGGCACACAGTCTTCCAGTCTCTGGACCAGCATTATATCCAGAACCATCACCAGTCCCTCCCGCCAGGAAAACAAAACAAATTATCACTCTGAAAATGAAAACTGGTCTCCTGCTTTGATAAATAAGTCATGGTCTTCATTTGGAGTTAAGATAGCTCAAAGATCTTCACCCTATCATTTCTACTGACAAAAACCAGAATCCTCTAAAGAGACTGAAAAAAATGTAAATGAAGACTTCAATTCTAGAGGAAACATTAAACCACCTAAGCATCCTGTGGAATCATCACTTCTGTAGTAGACCCTATACATAGTAGATGCCAAGGAAGTGTCAATCACGTTTCTTCTTTTTTATTTTATTCCCTTTATGGGCATCAAAGTATGTTTGCCCAAGTGTCTGGGCCAGAGCCATGTGAGTGTTCTTAGCAGTCATCAAGATGACTGGAATTAATATGCATACAGGCAACACGGTCTTCTAATTAACATACGCAATTGGGTGGCTGGGACTCAAAAGTGAGTCATAGTAATATAGAGATTGATATTCAGAGTAACTAATCATAAGCTATGCATCAAATGGCACTGAATATGAATTATGCAGGAAATTCTGGTACAAATTGGAACTAAAAGTGTGTGTGGAATGCCATGTGGCTTGTAGATACTTTTTTTTGGTATCATTAATTTGTTGTTTATTTAAGAAGTAAATAATCTAGATATAGTAGTTACTAGGAAGTAAAATAAGCAAACGACATCCTGATCCTCCTGTAGTTTACAGGCTATGGTGGTTTGAATGAGAATGGTTCCCATAGGCTCATGTATTTGAATACCTGATCCCCCATTGGTAGAACAGTTTGGGAAATACTAGCAGGTGTGGCCTTGTTGGAGGAGGTGTGTCACTGGGGGCAGGCTTTGAGATTTTGAAAACCCACACCAATCTCATTTAGCTTTCTTTATCTCTGCTCCATGCCTGTGGATCAGGATGTATGCATTAGGCTATGGCTC